AGATCTAGAGTGATTGATATTTTTTTAAAATCTAAATTTATCCTAAAATCGCATGCCTCCGTGATTTGATACATATGTACGTACGCTAAGATCTTATTCAAAAATATCATCAAAATTCCCGCATGAAGACCTTTCCTAAATTAGATTGGCTAGCTAAATATTAGGTTAGACATGCAAAAAACTATTATGATCCTGAAAAGTAAAATAAATATTTTATCCTTTTTATTCAGATAATAAAATTGACAGGGTATTGTTTTATGTAATGTTTTAGGTTTTCATTGAAACTTTAAATAAAACGTAAATAATGAACTAAAATACTATATAATAAAATTTAAGCATATTTTTATGACGTTTCTTGAGATTGCCTAGTCTAAAAAGTGTATAAAGTATGGATTACTAATAATTGGGTGGTATTACTAAACTATTGACCAATATATAAACACTTTAGTAATCTCGTTTCAGTGTAAAAAAAAAACATTTAAATATATTATAATTAAAGAGCTTATTAAAAATCCTGAAGAAGTTCGTAAACTTGAATCCAGGACTGTTCATCTTATAGCCGCCGTAAGAACTAACTCAAATCCTCCAAGAGCAGAAAGGTTTTACTGTATTGGATTAATTAAATCAAAAAAAAATTTTCACATATCACCAGTAAGTTATAGTTATAGCACAGTAAGCTTTATAATTTCAATTATGGAAAACATTAGTGTTTATGAAACCAGGGCAGCATTGATCTTTGCTAACACAATCCGAAGGATCATTCTGCTAGTAAAGATTATAATATGGCCCAAGCCTTCACTTAAATTTGAAATGAAGAGTTAGGGCAACTAGATGCTGTTGCGGTGGATACCCGAACTTTGGGCCACAGATTTTCATTCAATATAAAAATTTTTTATTACCTAACTCAAGACTGCTGCCTCTAGTTTAGTAGAAATGTCAACCTATCAACAGCAAACCTCTTCACAACAATATTATACTCATTATCGGCATTTGTCACCTATTGGAACTCTTGCTTTGGGCTCTGGTAATAATAATGGTATAGGTTCACATGATCCCATATATAATGCCAATCAACAAACTTCAACAAAGGCTGGAAATAAGTCTTTAATTGTGTCATCGGGAGTTGACACATCAGTGGATGCTTTTGCTAATAGAACTTCGACTACACCTACGATCAGGTCACCAATACAAAATCCTCAAGATCTCGTACCTGGAAAATCACCGTATTCTTATGCAACTTTGATTGCTTGTGCAATTAAAAATTCTTCTGATAAAAAACTCACATTAAATGAAATTTACAATTGGATTGCGAATAATTATCCTTACTATTAGACCGCCAGTGCCGGCTGGAAAGTACGCATTTTTTTATTAAAATTGATGAAACTTTATATATTATTCTTTGTTACAAATACTAATAAATAAAATTTTAAAGAATTCAATTAGACATAATTTGTCTTTGAATAAAAGATTTGTCCGTATTCCACGTCAAAATCCAGGTAGAGGGTCATACTGGACTTTATTAGACATCAGTCCTGTTGAAACTGAACCACCAAATCACAAAGATCTTTGAGTATTAGACGCAGTATGCTGCGCATGCAATACGAATCAGTATATTCACCTTGTTGCACAACTATGGAACACCATTACCTTCTAGTAAAAGGGCTTGGAGGCATACCACAACAAACAATATCTTATACCGGAGCTAGCATTAGTAATCCTGCTGATTATTACACTGATACGGACGCGTATAATGCTACCGCATACTAACAAAGCAGTTGGATTAGTTAAATGACTAAGGGTTAAAAAAATGAACTTATAACTAATAATGATGTAGCTTTTAATTTTAATAAACTAAAATGCTCGTTTTTACTCATATAAACCGTGTAAGCTAGTGATGTGACCCGAAATTCATTTTCATATTACAGCTGTTTTCATAAATTCTGGGACACCTAAAAATTTTTTTGTTTACCAAAACCTCTTCGATCTTGTTCTAAGAATCAACTAACGTTTCGGAAACTATTTCGCTGTCTCTGTATCGAAGTTTCAAGGGCAGCGAAGTAGCTTCCGAAAAGTTAGATGATTATTATAACGAGATCGAGGAGGCTTCGGGAAATGAGAAAATTTTTAGGTGTCCCAGAATTTATGAAAACAGCTGTAAATTCAGTGAATATCTATTGGATTTAATATGAAAATAGATATTCAATAGATTTCGAGTCACGTTTCAATATGAGAAAATAGACTTATGCCTTCACACTTTTTTATCATGTACAGTGCGGGGCAGCTAAAGATATCCAAATTTTTTTAAATTGTTATAACTTTTTTAAAAAAGTTAAAATAAAAATCCCTCTTTCAAATTTATTGTTTTTTATTTAAATAACAAATCTGAAAGAGGGATTTTCAAAATTTTTAAAAAAGTAGTTACAATTTAAAATTTTTGATTTTTAAAAATTTGGCATGTATATATAATTTTAAGAATTTTGATTGGTTAATAATTTATTTTTTGTCATTTTTATCATAAAAATTTTTCTAAAATTTGGCGCATCACGGAAAAAGTGGATATCTTTAGCTGTCCCCTACTATACATGAATTTTTTTTCGTGTATTTGGCAAAGGATGAGGTGCAAGCGATGATTTTAGTACTTTAAAATGATACTTATGCTTTGGTTTATACCTGTAATGAGGATACACTATATTATGAACTTGCTTTGCACAATCAGCTAATAATTCATAAAGTTGCTTAACCTTATTACTTTCTTTTGGCCACTTCTTTTGAAATAAATTTAAAATTGTTTGTTGAATTATTTTGCAAGATTGTTTGTTGCATTTATATTTTTATCATTATCATATACAGTATCGATATATAAAATTACGTGTAAAAAATTACAGCAAATAGGGTCGTAACGTTAAAGAATATTTAAAATTGAAGTTATTGCTTAATTCTACCAAATTTACAAGATTATGTTTACCAAAGTTACTAATCAAATCTACCCAAATTATGTTTGACAGAGTATCAAATTAATTCTACCAAAATTATGTTTACCAGAGTTACAAATCAATTCTACCAAAATTAAGAATCAAAATCACAAGGATCAAACTAAAAATTACTACATATGTATAAAAAAGAACAATCCATACATATGCTGTAGTACATGAGATTTTGTTTATGAGGTAGAGTGTCCAGATTATGTGGTAATTCAGTTTGTATTGTTTAAACAAAAGGAAAATAGGCTGAAACCGCATAATCTGGACACTCTATTAAGAGTTACGAGCAATTATATTTACCAAAGTTACGAATTAATTCTACCCAAATTATGTTTACCAGAGTTACGAATTAATTCCTAACTTCTACATACTAACAAAAAGGTTTCCTTGTGAAATTTTGGTTTACTAAAGCTTTTTCTAATCTTACTTAGTAGCAAAACCTTAATTTTTAGCGAAATTTTTGAGGTTGGTAACGCTAGACTATTGATGTCATAAAATTAATTTTTTCTAAATTAATTTTTTCTTTACAACAATATGGACTAAGCGCTGGGAAAAGGGACTAAATTGACGAAAAGAAAATCAATTTTTATGTTAATAACCCGTTTTTTTTGCAATACTTTACACTTGTTGACGATCCTTTGTAACATTTGTATTCGACAACGTTGGGTTTCTAGCGCTAGTTTTCATTTCTTTTATCGTTATCGTCATCATTATGTTTTTTCCATTCTTTTAATTTGAAAATATAATTTTGTCAGACTATGTCATCACAAATATGATCTGGTTAATATACTGTAACCAGATAATTCATTTTCATGTATCAACGTCATTACATTCTTGAAGAATATGTATACGTAAATTTATAATAAGATCATTATATTTATATAAGCAACGTAGGGAACATTATAACAAGAATTTTAGGCTTCTGACATATTTCTCTTCAAAAATTAACATCCTTGGCTATTGTGATATTAAAAAAAATAATGATCAAAATTGTAGAAAGTAAAGAAATTATAAAAAATTCGATCAACCTAATTTGGAAAGCAACTGAAGGAAATGTTGTCACTGTTACTTTCAATAGGCAGTTACGCTTAGCAACCATCTCCTTAGATAATGGAATTAACACTACTCTAAATTTGGAAGCACCAAGAGCAGCCCTTATTAAAGAAGACATTTCTAGCAAGATAATAAATAAACATGCTGGTTCTATTATGATTGAAGATATACCGGTAAGTATATATATTGATATGAGTGACACTAACTAAAAACAAAGGTCTAAATATAGAATATAACGATAAAATAGATTTTAGTAGTCTTAGAGAATTTATAATTAGATCAACTGAAATTAACTGTTATACTAACCTAAGTCTTATCCTTAGAAATGTTCCAATTACAATAATATTGGTATTTATGTAAATTTATTAATTATAATTTTTAATCACAAACTATTAATATTAACAAAAAATCTAATTCTAAAAGCACAGAAAGAAAATATTAGTGATGAAGGCAGTGATGATGATTTGCCAGGATGGTCGGAATGTGAAGAGTGCTATGGACCTAAAAAAGAATTTTGTGACCTTTGTGGTTGTTCTGTATACAAATGGAAAGGGGATCAAGGCCATATTCTCCTGTGTGATGGATATTGTGGTAAAGGCTTTCATACCAGGTGTTTAAAACCACCACTTGCAAGAATACCGGCCAGAGACTGGTATTGCATAAGATGTTTAAGGAAATTGAAACAAAAGACACAATCAGATGATTCAAGTTCAAGTGACAATGCTAAGAAAATTAAAAAATCAAATAGAAAACGTAAACTATTATTAGACCGTAATGGTAAATAAGCTATTTTTATTATTCTGTATCAAAAACAACACAAAAGTATTATATAAATTTATTAGTAAAATACGTGGAAGATACAGAATCTACAGATGATGAAGTGGTGAATGATAGACAAGTAAATTTTTAATTTAGTGATCTTAAGATTTAAATATCAATATTATTATCGATATAAATTTATTTTCTTATCCCTCAAAAGCAAACAGAAGATACTACGGCAATTCAAATACAATCAGATACAAACGGGGTAACAGTAAGTATTCATAATTAAAATTCAACGAGTCTACCAAAATATCAAAGACTAATTTCAAAAAGGCATCACTTCAGCACAATTCCGAAGCAACCGATAATATTATGAATAACCCTGAAGAGTCAATTAATGATTATGAAGATGGCGAAAAACACGTAAGGAATTTTGACATATTTTTTAATTCTGATTCACTATCTAAAACACTTATTTATTTACTAAAAGCTTGATTAGGTAAGAATTTATATGTTAGTTAACTTGACCTATATCTAATATTAATGGGATTCAAAATCTAGCAGAATGAATAAAAAAAATATACTAGTTACTATTTACTAAATATTTTTCTGGTTAAAGATGGTGAGATGTGATAAAAAGCGGGAAAGTCCTTCAAATTGTTCAGAAAAATATAAGAAAAAAGCGCGTCTAAATTTACCAAGGAGTCTGAAGGAGAAAGAACGAATGCGGCATTCTTCGTCTGAAACTGAATCTGATGGTAGGAATTGATATATTTTCAAACCTGCACATAATTATAAATTGATAACTTATATCGTGATTAGAGTACGAATCAACATCATTGTACACAAAGGTTTTAAACGAAGAGCCACAAATAAGTGGTAAGTTAGGCAAAAAAGAATTTTACGCTCTTTATAGCTTGAAACACAAAATTTTAAAAATTTTTATAGCTTATTAACTAATAATTTCTTAAAGGACAACAAGTAGAACAGGCGACGAGCAACAAGTACCCCAAATCAAAAGTATCAAGTAATTTATATTTCATAACATCATATTTTTTAAAACTATCAACTTACAATTTTCAATTGCGCAATCAGAATATGTAGATTTATTGAAGAAAATAAGGAGAGTCAAGGGAATAACAGAGAATTTTGTGTCTCATGATCCAGAAAAAATATTTGAAATGCTTACTCAGCCTATCCACAAATATTTTAATGCAGATTTCTCGGAAGCATCATTGGAGCCTGAACAATTCCCAAAGATAATAGAAGATATTCAAGGCTGCTTCAAATATTTAGCAATTTGGGATTCATATTTCAATAATTGCAAAAGATTAATCGGAATTCAGGATTATAAAATGTTGAAATTAGTTTATTCATTAACTGATGTATTTTTCATTATGCTAAAAATTTGCTATCAGGAACAAGTCAAAGACACTTCGGTGACGAAAAATACTAATACTTGGAAAGGGAGGGATATTAAATCGCGAATGAACAAATTTTGGAATATAGATTCACGTACAATGTTAAAAAAGTGGACGAGTTGTTGGAGATTGTGCCATTTTCTTTGGGTGACAAATATCACACCTGAGGAAATGGTTGAAATCAAGTTAAAAGCAGATTTCTTTCGTAATGCGACAGAAATGGAATACAACTTCCTTATCAAAGAATTATTAGGCAAGATTTCCCCAATTTTTTGAATATAAAGGACGAAAAAATTTTAGACTTACTAGAAATTGCAAAATCTTAATTGCACTTAATTAAAAATATATATAAACTAGTGCACACTGCTAAAAAAATTTGATAGTTGGGTACACAATTTCATGAAACATCCTGAAAAGAAACAACAAATTAGTATAGAATACAAGGGTTGTAAATTCAACGTTGTGTATAAACTGCAAAAACAATAATCAAAATTATCCTCATTCTCAATCATATTACACGTATAAAGAACCTGATCTTGTACCTTTTATTTTTTTATCAATTATTAATAATGACTTAAGTCCAAATAACAGACCATTACGGCGCATTTGTAACCTATCCCAAAATTTAAAAATTTTTGATCCCTGATAGTGAGTCAATTGAATTGACATCATATATACGTACTGTATAACATTACGGCGCATTTGTAAACTACCCAAAATTTAAAAAAGTTTGACTACGGATAGTGAGTCAATTTAATTGACATCATATATACGTATGAGTTATAAACCAATACTATCAGTATTATTAATATCCATTTTTTCATAGTTCTGTCTAATGAGGTGCATCACTACGTTGCATTAATAATTTAAGATGAGTTACATGAATAATTTAAGATGGGTTGGATAGTGGAAAGATGGGTTAGACATAAGACTGCCATAGATCTGGGGGTGCAAAAAAAATTTTTCGGGGTTTAATTTTGATCGATTGATAATGAATTTAGTGACCATTATTTTAAGTCTGGTGACCATTATTTCAGATTTGGTGACCAAATATTTGCTTAATTCTGCCAATGTGCCGTAATGCTAAACATTAATGCGATTACCGAATTCATTGGTGAAGTGATGAGTTCTTACTTTAAAATGAAAAAATGTGACGATATAAGCGTAATGAAGGAAATTGGAACAGATGTTCAATTTTTACCAGACTTGAATGGTAGTCTGCAAATGTTTTTCTAAACTAAAAGTTTTTTGAATAATTTGCCGCAGTTAACGGCTTGGAAACTGTTGTTCTTGATGAACCACAAGAAATTTTACTAAAAAAAGAATTAGTTTTTTTTTTACTGACAGAGTTTTACAAAAGAATTGGTTTGCCTTATCAATTGTTTTCTTTTATATGGTAAACCCGGAACTGGCAAAACTATATTGATAAATACCATATCTCTTATTTGTCATGAGTTCTCTATTATCTTAATCTCAAAGAAGTTAATGATAATTAGCGTTAGTTCCTGATGAGGACTTTAAATTTTGATTATCCAATCAAATAACTGATAATTTGATATCGATTAATTTTGAACTCAGTTCATTCTTCTACGGCACCCAGGTGCCGTGGAAATTGAAAATTTTTCGTTGTATAAGTTTTTTACATTTAATGATGTTATAACTATTCTTCTTTGCTTCTTATGTAAGATTTAATTTCTATATCATAATCTTTATCTCTCTCTAACTGAACTTTTAAAATGCATTTAATATTTCTATCTTTACAAAGATCAATAATATCTCTCTCACTATCTTTCTGTTTTTCCATAGAAATGTTATATGAAAAGATGCAAACCAGTAATAGGTGATACAACATAAGATAACCCTCTGAGTTATATAAATCTGAAGAATTGCGAATATGGGGGGAGTCTGAAGTTTGGGTCAACTTTACAAGGGCAGAAGTAGATTGAGTAGCGAAGTTCAAGTCAAACTAGATTAAACAAAGATAGAAGCAGAAAAAAGTTTAAAACAGGGAGAACAAACTATAGGCAAAGATCTCAACCCAATGTTACAACATTTCCAGAATAGATAAAACTTGAGCTACAAGTAATGGTTTACTATATATCAACTAAAATGCAGTAAAAGTGAAAATATTGCAGGTTTTGCCAGATTTATCTTGAGAATAAAGAGTCAGAAGAGATTAATAAGAAGATAATAGTTGCTTTAAAGTCTGAAGTTACTGTTTAGCCAATCGAAGTTTTAGCCTCACGATAATCTAAAAGAATGTTTATTCTACCAATATTCAAAGGATAGATAATAAATTTTATCCTAATTTTTAATTCTAACTTTAAAAATGATACCCTTCATCCAATCAGCGAATTTAAATTGAAACATGTGAATGACTATTTAAAGTACTATCACTTAAAGAGTATCGTTCATGATTTCTTATTTATTGAATTTTATTTAATGTATCAAAAATGACACTATTTATATCATGTGAAGTGTCATGTGATGTCTGGATGGTTTGGACCAGTTCTTGAGCTAGTCCCTAAAAAGTTCATCGTTCAGAACCCATTCCTGTGAACCACTTAACATCCCTAATGCTAACTGGATTTAATAAATTTGCCAAATTTGGAGTAATTAGTTTTCTGGGTTTTGGGCCTCTTTTTTTATTCAGGTTAATATATATGCATTCATGATTACGCCGCTTACAATTCGCACATATTGCCTCGCCAGAACATTTTTCTTTTTTGTCTCGACAGCTGGTACATGCCAGTTTAATATAAGAAGAGCGTGTTTTCTTTAATATTACTGATTTAGAGGCTTTCATATTCGATATGCAGTACGGGTAATGATAAATCCTTATGTTCGTGATGTTTTTGCTCTGAAAAGTAGTCATATTTATTTGATTTCGGTAGTGATGTGACCTGAAAATTTCGGGTCACATCACTAGATTTCGGAATAAAATTCTGATCGTCGGAAAAATATGATTTAGAATTTTCCATTGTTGACTTATTTAACTTCGTCGTGTAATATAAATAATCGATATTTATGCAGCGATTTTCCTATCGCTTATTTAAAACAAGAAAACCACATGACCTGAACACTCTATGTTGCTATTTTCTCACCTAGTGATGATGTGACCCGAAATTCATTGGATTTCATTTTCATATTAAATTCAGTGAATTTCTATTGGATTTAATATGAAAATAGATATTCAATGGATTTCGGGTCACATCACTATTCTCACCAGATAACTTTTTTATTTTGATGAGTTGTCTTCACTTTTTCAAATCATATTTCGTCGTATGAATAGCCATACTTGATTAATATACGAAGTCAATGATTTATGCACACAATTGAAAAAAAAATTATTTCGTAGGGACCTTCAGAACGAAATTTGTAAAACTGAGGTTATTGTTGAAAAGAGCAAATAAAAGTTATTGGTTGTATAAAAAAATTATATTTTTCCGACGATCAGAATTTTATTCCGAAATCTAGTGATGTGACCCGAAATTTTCAGGTCAC